GGGTAGGAAGGTGGATAATGTCTGAATTCAATGAATTTTTAAAACACAGGGCATCAGGAGGAGCTTAATTCGTTCCGGAATTATGTTGTCGAAATAAGCGATGAGTAGACGTGTGTAGTTACGCGCTTCTAAAATCCTGGATAGATCAAACAGGTGGCATCAATATGTGAAACGATTGACCGTGTGAGACATGTGTCATGCAAATATCATAATTCACTGTGCAGCGTGATTGTACCTCACCAACAGCGCTCTAAGCTTCTCTAGGGAACGGCCAGTAATAAAAAAGTTGTACTTTGGGATTATATAACAAAATTAGTGTCTGTGATGTATGCGACACATTTAATATGATGCAACGTTCCGACAAGTGAAAAATCTGTTAGAATAGATGATGAGATGATACAAGGTCCGCACAGTTTCCTTCGAATGATCAACGGACGTTATAGGCGATGTTAAAGAACACGTTGGTTTAAATACGATCGGAATGTTTCTGATAACCAACAAAGAGCACTGGACAGCTGTTTCGTCCCGTTTGGGACTCGTCAGCAGTGCATTCTTTTTATGTCCTTGTCAGGACTCGAACCGCGATTATTCGGGTTGGGACTTGAGTCATTCGCACAATGTAATAACCATCGACTGTGTAGCTCAACGGTAAGGGTTTGAAGTCCCAGTCCGAAGAATCGCGGTTCGAGTCCTGACGAGGACACAAAAAAACGCACTGCTGACGAGTCCCAAACGGGACGAAACAGCTGCCCGGTGATCTTTGTTGGTTATAGCAAACACTCATCGTGTTAAATGCATACAAACAGTGGAAAATTACCACCTCCCAAGGAGTGAAACCCACACGGAACAACATCAACAGTGCCTGTGAAAAATCGATTAAGCTAATCTAAACTTTCATCATCTAAAACGCGTTAGTTTTTATGTGGGGGGACAAATAAACAGGTTTGAAACAAATAGATCCACAGAATCATCGAGGACTTACTGTGTGCTGCTTGCTAGATTCAAGTTGGTTACGCACAGTGTGCAATTCAGCTTGTGCAACGATGAGTTGCTGTCTCAGTTGTTCAGCTTCTTCATCCATCCCAGAGGATGCATTAGAACTCAATTCCAATTCCTTCACGTTGACTTGTAATTCACGAACCCGTGCATCGGAGTCACGCAACTGACTGATCAGCCGTTCGACCTGAAAACATGTGCCAGGTCAGATGGTGTACGTTGACGGATAGTGACTCGACTCAAATATAGATAAGATAGCACTGATTTGAAGCAGACTATAATAGAAGCATCGTACATACCGCTTCCGCTGCATTCAAACGCTACTCAACTTTGGTCCAAGAGCCGCTTCAATAGCAACACAAACGCCTTCCACGCGATGCATATGAGCCCTTGATGAGTTTTTATGAGTGAAACACGAACCTAGGGCATCCTGTTGAGTATAGCTGGCTAGTGGAACTTGTACACGAATATGGAGTATGGAAGATGGCTGGTTAAAACGAAAGCAGTATTAATTTTGATACTGACATCGGCAAGACTAACTGCAATGGAACTCTGACAGTAATAAGTCGATCTTGTCCGTAAGTTGGAACAACAACTGACCTCTGCATATCAACACTGAACATTTTCTAGTGTCATATTTTCTGTGTCCCTCTAGACAAAAACTAACTTTTATAGATCACTGGCTCTATGTCAACCATCCTCGAAACAGGAATGTAGGAAAACAATACCACAGTTGTGCCCTTATCGAAACAATCAGATGATAGGGGACGGGTGCCGCAGAATAAACCTGTTTCCAAAGGAAC